GGAGAAATGTGGGATCAACATATAAATCAAGTACAAAAATCAAATGAATATTCATATTTGACCTGATTGTTTATAGGTCATAATGCGTGATCAAAACCGAAAGTTTCTGTGATGAATGCCCTTGTACTGTTCACCATGTAAGAATTTATTCACTATGTAAGAATTCGTTCACCATGTAAGAACTTGTTCGTTATGCTTCAGAAGATTGGAGACTGACGAGAATTAGACTTGAGATGGATTAATGATTGTACATTGAGCATTGACCCCCCTATACTGAATTTTATTGTTGTTAACAACCATTTGATCAATAAATATGAGAGATGCCCTCTCAAAAAAAAAAAATTTAAATTCAATACAAGAATTTATCTCCAAAAGTAAGATAAAACTTGTATCACCAGCCAAGGAATTGCCTACTGTACCTTCAGCTGACAATGAAACTATTGAAAAAAATAGTTAACTCGATTTATACTAGTGTTTTAAAGCACTCTGGCTCACACACCTCTATATTGAAAGATTTAATGGGTAAGAGCATTGGCCCTTTCTGATATAATAGGTTTTTTAATGGTGAAGGAAATTTCCAATTCTGAATTTCAACCTAAAGTGGAGGAAGAAGTATCAAAGTCAGAATTAGTTTTGGAAGCTGTCAAAATTATGGAAAAAGTGGTCAAAAGTGTTGATAAGTTTAAGTCCCCCATCCAAAAAAGGTCTATGTTAGATACTACAACTTTAGAGGAAGCTTTGGCTTTGTTCTTGGCTAAAATTGTAACATTGCCAAGTGTCTCAAGCAAAGATGCAAAAAACTTGTCAAAGCCTGAGTTAAATAAAATTGCACCTCAACTGACAAAATCTGTGGCAGCTGAAATTTCCAAAAATAATATTAATCTTGTTTCTGCTGATCCTGAAGAACACTTCTGAAATCCAGAAAGCATAGAAATCATTTCTCAGGTTACTGATTCTATTTATAGTGATATACTGCAACAATCTGGAGCCCATAAAGATCTTTATTACAACATAAAAGGTACAAACAGAGCCTTCCCGAAGAAAGTGGCTAGTTTGATTATTAATGGAGTTTCAAATCTTCGATCAGATACAGTTAGGTTAAAGAATTCAAGTGCTGATCTCTTTGGAGATCAAGCCATTAATAGAATTCACAGAAGTATGCTAACTAAATGATCCCTGACTTAGAAAAAGGAGAGTCGGATCGAGATTCAATTGAAGATGAGTCACCAATTAAAATAGTCCCACTTATTAGGAAGAGACGCCAGTCAAAACAGATCCTGACATTATCTCAGAACACTTAGCAGTAATTTTGGGGAAAACTCAACCTCTTGAAAAACTTGAGATGGACTGTTTAAGAAAAACTGGACATAGCATAGAAGAGCTAAGAAGTGCATCAATAAATGGGAGAAGTGTCTCTTCTTCAGACACATCTAATTTAGGAAAGATAAAGAAAGGAACACATACTTCATTGACTAAGACAGGACGATTGGATTTAAAAACCCTAGAGGTAAGTGCAAAAGCAGTAACAAAACATTAAAATTAAAATTCAAAATACAAGTGAATAGAGAAGCATAATTGTTCTGTGATTCCCTTCTTCAAACAGGTATATGGAAATGCATTTTTTCTTATTGCCCCGCACTCTATGAGAATTGGTTACACTTGTTCATCCATAAAGTCATGTAACTTACTGGGACTTGCCACATCAGCTCTGTGGCTCACTCTCAAGGTCTCAGGCTAGTTTTCCTAAGACTATCAGTTTAAACTGGCTTTTAAAAGAAAAATTATGGGAACACAGGGACATACACTCAGTAGTAAAACCAGGCTGACTAAAATTATGATCTTCGTTTGAAAATTCAGAAAAGCAATCTCATATAGTTCCTGTAGTTTTTTATTGTGGGTTATCTAATGGTATCTTCAAGGGCCAGTTAATACAATATCAGGATATGTGAACTCTCAAAATTTAGCTAAAATAGTTTTAATTTCTCAAACTTATGGCTCTACACAGTACTTTTTACTTTTAGCAACATTCATCAACAAACACTAGACTGCAGACACTTAGATTATACTTATTATCTCACTTTAATTAGGCTTCCTCAGTTTTTCTATACTCTCAAGAAGCACCCAGTTTCTTTCCTCTTCTATCCTTGTTCAAGACCCAGCAGCCCATGTACTCCCATTTTTATGAACCCAACGATCAAAAATCCATCAACATCATCCACCACATAAACAAAAAGATGGACAGAAACCATATGATCATTTCCAAAGATGCTGAAAAAGCATTCAACAAAATTCAACATCCATTCATGATACAAACTCCAAACAGAACGGGTATACAGGGCAACATAATAAAGGCCATATATGAAAAACCCACAGACAATGTCATTCTGAACAGCAGGAAGCTGAAAGCTTTTCCTCTAAGATCAGGAACAAGACAGGGATGCCCACTCTCCCCACTGTAATTCAACGTAGTACTGGAGGTCCTAGCCACAGCAATCAGACAAAACAAAGAAATACAAGGCATCCAGATTGGTAAAGAGGAAGTCAAACTGTCACTATTTGCAGATGACATGATATGGTACATAAAAAACCCTAAAGACATCATTCCAAAACTACTAGAACTAATATCTGAATTCAGCAAAGTTGCAGGATACACAGTTAATACACAGAAGTCTGTTGCTTTCCTATACAATAATGACAAATTAAGAGAAAAAGAAATGAGGAAAACAATTCCATTCACAATAGCATAAAAAAGAATAAAATACGTAGGAATAAATCTAACCAAGCAAATCAGAAACCTATACCATGAAAACTACAAGAAACTATTAAGAGAAATTAAAGAGGACACTAACAAATGGAAACTCATTCCATGCTCTTGGCTAGGAAGAATTAATATTGTCAAAATAGCCATCCTGCCCAAAGCAATCTAGAGATTCAATGCAATGCCTATAAAAATACCAGCAACATTCTTCAACGAACTGGAACAAATAGTTTTAAAATTCATGTGGAACCACAAAAGACACCAAATAGCCAAAGCAATCCTAATAAGGAAGAATAAAGCAGGGGGCATCTCGCTTCCCAACTTCAAGCTCTACTACAAAGTAACAATAATCAAGACAATTTAGTACTGGCACAAGAACAGACGCACAGACCAGTGGAACAGAACAGACTCCAGAAATTAACCCAAACATACACGGTCAACTAATATATGATAAAGGAGCCATGGACATACAATGGCAAAATGACAGCCTCTTCAACAGATGGTGCTGGCAAAACTGGACAGCTACATGTAAGAGAATGAAACTGGATCATTGTCTAACCCCATATAAAAAAGCAAATTCAAAATGGATCAAAGACCTGAATGTAAGTCATGAAGCCATAAAACTCCTAGAAAAAAACATAGGCAAAAATCTCTTGGACATAAACATGAGCGACTTCTTCATGAACATATCTCCCCGGGCAAGGGAAACAAAAGCAAAAATGAACAAGTGGGACAATATGAAGCTGAAAAGCTTCTGTACAGGAAAGGACACCACCAATAGAACAAAAAGGCATCCTACAGTATGGGAGAATATATTCATAAATGACAGATACGATAAAGTGTTGACATCCAAAATATATAAAGAGCTCACACATCTCACAAACAAAAAGCAAATAATCCAATCCAAAAATGGGCAGAGGAGCTCTACAGAGGAGCTCTCCAAAGAAGAAATTCAGATGGTCAGACACATGAAAAGATTCTCCACATCACTAGTCATCAGAGAAAAGCAAATTAAAACCACAATGAGGTAT